CCTAAACTGAAAAGGGAATTTGTGTTGGTCGACTACTCTATCCACTATAATTTCAGTCCCTTATACCAAGACATGAGCAGAGGTGTTGCAGTGGGTGGTCGCGCCCGGTTAGAGGGTGGAATTCTCTGCTGCTAGCTTCAACCAGGCTGTTCGGCTGTTCAGCGTTAATTCTCAGTCGTGGTATTGCAGCACGAGTTGACAAGGGAGATGAAGCCAAAGCGCGGGCGCACCTGCCATGTTGAGTGGGTTGGCACTATTTACCCTTTACTGCCCCAGTCATCCGAAATCAGGCCAGTTCCTGACCGACTTTTTTCTCCGTGGGCAGAATTTGCTGAAAACTTGGCTCCGGGGGTAGTTCGACCCGCTGAACACGAATATCGCATCCGCTTGACCCGAAACCTCCTGGCGCCCGCGCCACGGGCGCCGGCGCCAAAATACTCGAAATAACCAAATTCGCTGAAAACTTGCTCCCAGGGGTAGTTTGACCCCTGAACACGAATATCACATCCGCTCAACCCGAAACCTCCTGGCGCCCGCACCACGGGCACCGGCGCCAAAATACCCCAAATCATTGGCGCCTGTGGCGCGGGCGCCAGGAAGTTTGGGCTGAGCGAATGTGATATTCGTATTCTGGAGGTCAAACTACCCCAGGAGACAACATTTGAGCAAAATCTGCTCACGGAGAAAAAAGCCAGGATCAGGAGCTGGCCTGATTTCGGATGACTGGGGCAGTGAAGGGTAAATAGTGCCGAGTGGGTTGGTTCGTCCTTGACGCGGATAGTGCGTACGTTACCCGCTTGCAGCGCCCTACCGGATTTACGCCAGTCAAGCCTCATCCCTTGAGTTGAAGGTGACCGAAGTGAGTCTCTTCTGAGAGAAAAAAACGGTATTCTTTGGCTGTTCTCCTTCAAATAAGACAAAAAACATTCATGCCACCCAAATTCTGCAAGGAAGTAGAATGCGTGACACGTCCCAAAATGGGTTGAACAACGATAGCCCACCACGGCATGGCGCTCGGTCTGTGTCAGTGAGGACCTTTGCTTGACATGTAGTCCAGACTTTATTTCCCGAACTCCATAGATGCGGACAGTTCATGGTCATCTCTAGTAAAAGCTGTGAGAAATTAGAGAGAGAGCGTCGTGGGACACCCGACGGACAAGTTGGAATCAGCAGGTCAGGAAGAGAAGTATCCTTTCGAACCGTGCTGGTCCGATGGGTAAATCGAGCGCCATTAGTGAGGTGCAAGTGAAAGGAAAAATGTCAAGTGTTTATGGCACTGGTCGTCAAGCAGGAACATTTTCTTTGCCCCCACTTGACACCATGTTGTTACCTACTATTTACAGACTGTGTTTGTTCTTTCACTTTTGCCGGCTAGGGCACGTCTTCGATGAGGTCTCCCTGTCAGGGAGAAAGGGGATCTAGGGAAAGGCAGAGGCGTATTTGGGCTGTCTAGAGGAGGGTGCAATGATGGGAATGTTCGGGAGATTCTTGGCCGGCATAAAAGAATTTTCTTGCTCGTTTCTTCCGGAAAAGAAGTTTCTGCTCCTTCTTCATTTTAGGTACAATGCATGTCCTTTCCTCCTCTTCCTCTCCACCCCTCCCCCTCCCCCCACACACACCTACTTGTTCTAATCTAGGTTTCCTCGTTTTGCCTCCCATTCACTGTGCTCTTACCCCTTCCCCCTAGAAACTTAAAAAGGAGGAAATGCTTGGCGTTGATTAGGCCATGTATCTGACTACCAACCAGAACTGCACTGCCATCCGAAGATGTATTATGGCAGCGAGTCCTGCTTTGCCAAAGTACATGTTTTGTCCTTCCCAAGTAGGTCACATGAGCGAGATAATTTCGAGGGAGGAGGATGGAATGCTTCGGCCTAGCGCGAGTTTCTTTTGGTGCCTACCCCCACATTTGCCTTCATGACCCCTCTCGTTATTGTAATGGCAGGGTGTTGCACAAGGCTTGGGTGATCCATGACCTAGCAGGGATTAGGAGGGATATCTAATGTCATCGTGCTGCAGTTAATACGATCCATATCAGACGAGAAAGGGGGCTTGCCCAAGTGCATACGTAGTGTTGCGAATCGACAAGTGGATTCTTTGCTCCGACTCTAGTGGCTAGCAAATGTTTGGACGTCCCGTAGAGTACCATAAAGGCACGTCCTGCCATTTTTCGTCCTGCCTAGAAAAAATTTTGCAGAACACGGTACCCCCTCCCCCACACACACCGCCTCTCCTTCCCCTCAAAATTCCCTCCTTTCCTCGAAAAACTGTGCCATCATGAGAGAGGGGCGGTATACAACGCACCTGAAAGAGGAGAAACCGTGGAATCAAAAACTTTTCCCTGAAGACAAACAGGTTCTCCTCCTTCAGCGGCCAATACGACCCTCGTCGGATCCCCTATGTATGACCTGCGCCTTTTTCGGGCCTTTTCCCCACCAACACCGTTGTTGAACCAGGTCCAGGCTTTTGCGTGGAACTTATTGTGTTATGTCTGCAAACGCTGACTTTCCACGTTTATGACCCTGATAAGCTGAAATGCCCCCTCCCTCCTCCCTTGCGCTTTGCATTTATCGAGCTCTTATCAGTCCTATTCATTCGTTTACGACCTTTCCACCCACATTCGATCGCTGCGGTCTGTTTGTTTTCGTGTGCCTTTCCACGTTGTAACAGAAAATGGCTCTCATAATTAAGAGGTGGTAATTTCTGCGACCGTTAGAGCCTCGATAGGTGTCAACGTCTTATTCTTGAACAAAAACCCCTTGGGCGTTGGGGAACATTCCCTAGGAGTCGTTCACTTAATTCTCAATATGTCCATTGCGCGAATGCGAAGTATTCATCAACTTTGGGACAAATAATTGCGAGCGTATTTTTCAGAGAGCTAAAATTCTTTACTGCCAGCGAGAGCCAATCGCTCTCCCGCATGAGGCACTGTGACCAGTGATTAGCACGGGCCAGGAGGCCGCGTTTGTCATCATTTTATGCTACGTTCATCATTTCTCTCAAGCCGCGTTCTTACTTCGCGCATGCGATCGCATGCGCGAATCCAGCGCGATCTTGATTCGCGAGAATGAAGAATTCGCTCCCTCAATGGTTTCACACCTTCACGTCTCATCACCAATCGCCAAGGATCTTCACCTCAGTGAGAAGAGACTGGGCAGATAACTAGACTGGTCGCCCTCCTGTCCAGTGCTGGTTCCCCTCCAACTACTTAGACACTGCTTACACAAATATGACTGGGTTGGTGGGTATCGGGATACATGTCAACTGGGACCCTTCTTGTTTACCCTCTCTCTCCCCTCTCTCTCCTTCTTTTCCTTATTTCTTCATTCTTTCTCTCTTCCTTCTTCCTTATTTCTCTCCAGTTTTCATAAGGCAGGTCTAAATCATCGACGCCAAAATTGCACCATTTCCAAAACTGACAAAGGCCGGGAAATGCTGTTCTTTTGATTGTATTTTTTAGTTTTATACTGATTTTCTCGCCTTTTGTTAATACTGCGTTTCATTGAAACTCTCCATTCGATTTTTCGTGGGATTCCGAGTTTTTCAATATTTTTCATTGCTCTGCCGAATGAATGTGTGTTGTTAATTGTATGTGAAATCCTTTCATTATTTTCTGGTTTCAGTGACGTCTTCTTTTCATTTTACGTTTTGTCAGATCATATGTAGCTTCGTTGTCGTGATCGAACTGGGCGCGATTCGGCTTCGTGGGGGCATACGCTGTCAGCGCGACTTATACATGGCACATTTTGAAAACCTGTAAGTTCCTGTGGCCTGCGTGACAACATGTCATTTCGCGGCTTCATGGGATTTTACAGGTTTTACCAGGGTGAGACCTGTTGGTCAATGTGAAGTAGGAAAAGTGGTAATCACAGTACAGAATGTGACCTCCCCTAGCCGAACAGCGTCTCATATTGTTTTCTCAAAGTCGCTCTTCAATTTTTTTGTACTGAATGCATCAATCTTTTCATTTCCAGAACCGTGCGATGGTATTGCGAGAGTAAGCTGGCCGGGCTTCAGAGTGCACTAAAAGAAAAGAGGCCAAATGGCCAAGGAGTTCCAATTCAACTGGCGCCCAAACGTGCCTAGTTTGCTCCAACATGGCTCCGTTTTTGATCGTTACGATGACGGTGAGTTCCGTTTATCTCATTTTTTTTTCAGCATACGAGTTATAAAGAGGATAGGTAGCCACTTTCTCTTGACCTGTCTATTTAAAACCAACTTTTCGTTCCCATTTGCGTTCCTCCTTGACCTTTTCCCACACCCGTGGATTTTCTTGTCGGATCTTATGAGTATGTGGGAAAGATCAGCAGAGTTGTGAGTCTATCCGCTAAGCGTATTATCCGTGGGGAAATGTTGGGGAAATGTGAAAAAGCTTATTGCTGCAGTTAGGCTAAGGGGGGATATTGCGCTTTTGCTGTTTCCCTTTGTCGATTTCATGGCTTTACAAGAGTTGACAGGTATTATTTACAAGACTTGGCAAGTAGTTTCTACAAAGTTTGACTGGCATCATTTCACCGCTTTACAAGATTACACAATTCTCTTCTTGATGTCTCAGGATAATGGGAAGCAGCCTAATTGTTAGTGCAAAAACCCCCTCCCCTAGCCAGTCGCGTCTATTCGCTCTTCTTTGGGTACTCCTTTTGTGTATATATTCATTTCATAAGCACTGTAATAGTGCCGCCGTAATTACCAGAGAAAAGTCAAACTAGTCCATTTTACACGTAAGCCATTAAGAAAAGCGACAGGAAGCAAATCAGGCTCAGTAGCTGACAGAATCGTTGATTTTTATGTATGAGATGGGCTGGGTAACCTAGAATATCTAACTTATGTTAACTGTTTATTGTGGTAACTTAGACGGAAGCGTTCCTGCTTTCGTTAGTTAACATTTCTTATTTAGGAGAGCACACAACTGGAAGTCAATGCCCATGTGAGAATTGACGAATACGGGTTCTTTCTTTATTGGCTGATAGAGTCCAGAGATGCAGTTGTACTGGATATCGGCCAAGTGAGTTCGTTGGATATTATTGTGTATTTTTTCGTATTTATCTAGCCATCTTTTAACTGTCGTGAAGCGGAGGTGTAGTGACAGGTGGCATGCTTATCATGCGCGTGGTCCGCGGGTAAACCCCTTACCTGCTATCACCAACCAAACCTTCTACATTTTGGGGACAATAAATTGTGCCAGATTCGTCTGGGAGGATAAGAACACTGACTTGTACATCGGGTGGCTTCCCTCCGCAAGTCATTGTCTAGGCAGCATCTCATTTAATAAGCCCTGTGAGTGGAACTAAAATGTATGCCCATCGCAACAAGGGACTGATTAACGCGCAGACGTTATCCTTCTTTTCTGAGCGTCGTGAGAGTGTGCAGGACCTGAATTTCACGTTGTGACGACGCACAAAGAAATCGGCTATTTCTTATCCGGTTGACTTGACACCAGACATTTCCATGTTAAATCATTTGGGTCCTGATGCGAACATCATGTAAGAGCGATTATTTAAAGGTTTCAATCGGAGCGAGGATTTGGTCAAAGTGTTGGCCGTTGATCGATGCCTAATGGGGATGCGCAGAGCATTCTGCCCACATCCGGAATCGTAGTGGCTTATTGAATGCGAAGTGACCTGTCTAATGACTTGCGAAGCCCATCCGATGTACGCTCTCATCCTCTCACGAATATTGATTCCATTTGTCGTCCCAGAAGGGAGACGGCTCAGTTCTGACAAGGGAAGGATACTAACTCGTCCTGGCCATTCAGAATGAGATGTATACTCCTAGAAGCGTCTTCGGACGCTGATATCAAATCTGGCTTCCAAATCTGCTAAACGATTCTGGGTGAGGAGTTACGGACCTTTTTTGCTACTGTGCTTAACCATTGCGGTGCGCGCCCCCCTGCTTATGCTTCGCGCTTGTAAACCCTTCGTGACCCAACCGCCATCGTGGCTCGATGGCGCAGTAGGCAAGTGGATGGACTCATAGTCGTGCGATGGGGGTTCGAGTCCTTGATGCATTTCGTAGTTTTGCTTTTCCTTGAAACGTGTGCTCAACACTTGGGAAGTAGTTTTGCATACCTGTCCGACCACCAAGACAACTCCCTGCTCTTTATTGAGCCCCGCGAACGATTTTCGTGAAAAATTACACTTCTACCTACTCGTTCATGCAAGGGACCAAATACACATGCATATCTGCCTGAAGTACGTGATCTGCGAAATTTCACCATCCTATAAAATGACAAGGGCAACGAAAGATTTCAACATGTTCGGTAGCTCTAATCACCCACGCACACAATATCAGCCAACACCTCTGCGACCGTGCCTACCATAACTAAAGTAATATTAGGCACTGTTGAACTACTCCTACCCCAGAAAGCTCAAAAAAATTTTTCGCTCGCTGAAACGTTGGTCTTACAGTGAAATTCTAATGGGCCGCTGATCCACGGTTTTTAAGCGCTCGTTTCGAGCGCTGAGCGTCATTTGTCATTGGTGCGTCAACACCACGTTTTACCAGGGCGTTAGCGCGATTTGGCGCCATGATGCGCCAAATTGGCGCATAATGGCGCCAAATCGCGCCAGTGCCTACCGCGAATGCTGGATCCGCAATCAGGACTCAATTAACGAAATCATATCAAGTCATCGACTTTGGCGAAAAAAGTGTGGCAGCCAACTTGGCGCACGAATGGCGGCCTAAATTACTGCAACGGCGCTCGAAACGAATGTTGAAAATAGTTTGTGACTGCCTGGGCATCGAATTACACCTATAGGCAACGTTTCAGCGAAAAGTTTTTTTTGAGTTTTCTGGGGTACGAATGAGTGTCAATGTCAATTACGAGGTTGTCGACACACTGTACGACAACCTTGCAATTGACTGCGAGGAAGATAGCTCGTAGAGGACGACAATACGGATCCTCTCTGATCACGTGTGATGGCGATGAAGAAAGTTCCCTAGGAGCTAGAAGAACAGCTACGTCACTTTGGGGATGTAAAGGTCCCGATAGAGAAGGTAGTTCGCTTGTACCCATTGCCCACTTATGGACTTCAGCGTCCCATATCAAAGTATGCGTGTGTTTAAGTGAATGAAGCCATTGCCTTCTACCGTTCGAGTGCGAAAAAAGTCGCATTAATTACAAAAATATATGCGTTAAATAAAGCTGCCATACCAACACTATGAAAATGAATGCTTTCACTGAAGTCAAAATGAAACCCCTCTCAAAAATCAGACATAGGGTCTAATAAGCAGCAGGGAGGGGTCTTGGTGGTCGTACAGGTATGCAAAACTACTTCCCAAGTGTTGAGCGCACGTTTCAAGAAAAAGCAAAACTACGAAATGCATCAAGGACTCGAACCCCCATCGCATGACTATGAGTCCATCCACTTACCTACTGCGCCATCGAGCCACGATGGCGGTTGGGTCACGAAGGGTTTACAAGCGCGAAGCATAAGCAGGGGGCGCACCGCAATGGTTAAGCACAGTAGCAAAAAAGGTCCGTAACTCCTCACCCAGAATCGTTTAGCAGATTTGGAAGCCAGATTTGATATCAGCGTCCGAAGACGTTTCTAAGTAGTGTAACCATCTCATCCGAATGGCGGACGAGTTAGTATCCTTTATCCCTTGCTCAGGAGAGAGCCGTTCGAGAGCTGATCCCCTGACTGCCCTCGTGCTGCGCATGGCTTTTGCCATTACACCATCTACGCCTATACGCCTCTAGAGGTGGTAATGACATTCGGGAATCTATAGGCCAAACATACACCTACCATTGAAATGATTGTGATTATGGGCACATTTGCAATACAGGAGGGGGGGGGACATTCATCTACTTATGATTGAGGAAGTTCCAATTATAAACCGGGCTGTTCTGTCGTGAATAAGCTTGAATGGGTTTCAGGTGTGGGAAGCACGTCCTTCTGGTTTACCGAAGGATGGGCGAGTGCTGTTTGAACTTGAGCAACGAGGGGCCCGTGAAACCCTGGAAGAGAGAACGATCTGGATCACTCACGGACAAGATCTCGTAAACGTTCAAAGCTTTTATCTAGTCGCTGAGACTGTTGAAATTGCCAAAGTGAGTTTTTACATGTCTCTATATTCTTCAGTGTTCCCAGCCTTTTTGGAACGTAGTTTGTTTGATGTTTTCACTTCCTTACTCTTTCCATTGACTAGGTGAATTACTCTATAGTGTTACATTTTATCGGTTCATCGCTTTCTATTAGCCTAGTGTATCGTTTCAGGCCTGGCGGATAGGTATCAATGACATTCTTAAGAAGTCCAAAACGCGACATGTGTGTCCAACAACGAATCTGCTGAGATAGTACGTATTTCGCTTGATTTTCCATTTTCTTTTGAATTTATGAGAGCTCGGTCGCCCCGCACTGTTACTTGGGATCAGTTGCATTGTGCGTATGGAATTTACGCCAGGGGAAGGGGGGGGGCGGCGTATCAAAGGAAATTAGGGGCCTAGTTGTAGTGGGTAGTTTCCCTGCCCCAAAAAATCACCGGCCAGGGAGTAGCGAAGTTTTCGAATTGACTTTGTTTTTCGCAGTTTTTCCCCAACTAACGCTGTTTTGACGGATCTTGGGGAACACACCATTTTGCCATCGTTTTAGAAACTAAACAAAAAAAGCTCAGGTCGCTTCCATACTTTTTGTATATACTGAATTGATCCCGAAGAGGGCTCGGCAAGGGGCCAGATGGGCCTCGATTGACTCGGCCCACTCGTGAAGAACCGCGGGCTCTAGACACATGGATTCGCTGAAAGATGGGCAAGAGTGGTTGATTTCCATCTGAATCTTTGCCGCGCATTTTCCGAATCGGGATATCCTGATCAATGCAAGAGTTTTACCTTGTCTGCGATGGCGGTTCTTCACGTTTACGAAGTACGAACCACGCCTTTGAATATTGGAACCTATATATTAAATCCTGACAGCATTTGGTTGAGGTTGCGTTCATTCTTCGCCACTGCTGCCATTCACTCGCGCTATTTGATAATTGAGCGCGTGCGAATGACCGTGCTCCATCGCTAGTCGTTGGACCGCTGCAGCTGCTAATTTTGTTACAGCCAGTGTGGAACTTAATTTGACTTTTACAGTGGCCCAGCAACTAGCGGTCACTCGTAGTAGCGCTACTAAATCGCTCGAGTCGCGAAGTATGAACGCTATCTAAGATATCGAGTAGTTCCGATATTTTGCTCTAATGTTCTGAGCAGAATATGAATATGTTAGATTGAGCAAGGACGTCATATTTCGCTGAACATGATATCTGCTTCCAGCTGGAAATGGCTGACGCTGAGTGTAAACGATCGCAGGAAAATCCCGATCAAGCTTCTCGTCAAGACATTTTCCTCTGGGAAACCCGAGAAAATGGTCCTGAAGTGTCTGAGCGATCTTGGACTGTGTGGAGATAAGGTAAGTTCATTCGCGCCGAAAATGCTTGAAAGAAACACAGCATGACCTATTTCAAGAACTGCATTGCATGATTGTACTGCTTCCCTCGTGTTCGCAAAGTAATGTGATCCCTTCTGTACTTACTGAAGGCGCGCCGATATTTTGGTTACTCTTCATGCAAATGAGCGTAAACGAAGAATTTTAATATTCCACCTATTCTATGGTGCAGTTCTGGAGCTCCGATTCCGACGCGACATCGCGCCCACGCCAATTAGTACGCCTGGATAGTTGATGCGACACAGCGTCAGGGCGTCATACCGAATAGGTTATAGGAGCCTGGGTCCTGGACCATTTAGCTTACGGCCTTGTTTCAAAAATTCTGCAAGGATTGTTTTGATCTTTTCCAAGGTTTGAGGATCCGTGGATGACTGATTTGAGTGCTATCCTTTTTTCTAAACCGGGTGGTATCACAGTTCGTGGTAGCAGCGGTTTGACGGACTTGGGAAGTCGCTTAACTTGTCACGATACATCATGCAACGCCTAGGGCGTCAGCGTACTTGAGGGGACACTCCGCAGCGCCCGTCTGTCCGAAGGGTAGTGCCAGGGCACGTAATTTGGGGTTCTCCAACGAGAGCGTTGGTGTTTTAATGGCTGGAGGGAGGAGGGAGCGGGGCGCAGTTTGTCGACGGGGGGCATTTTGCACTTTTGCTACTTCCCATCGACGTGTCGGCCTATCTAGACAGCCTCTTCTCGAGTTGACAGGTTTTAACATGATGGCTTGACTACCTTGTTCCAGCTTCACAAGAGTTCACAGGTTTCGCCAGAGTGAGACATGTAAACCGGAACTGAGGAAGCAATGATAGTACAAAATGCCCCCCCCCCCGTCGACAAACAGCGCCGTATTCACCTTTTCAGGAAAATTGTTGCGGTTATTGAATTGCTCGCACTTTCCTTTTCCAAGTGCGTTATGTATACCTATCCTACCCTCCGTCCGGTCCAGGGAAGACATAGCCTTCTCAGAGCTTGAGCATTCGTTGGGAAAAAGACACCGGGAAAAGCGCCGATGTGCCTGATTCCGCTGCTATGTGGTGTCCTACGTACCCCACCCCCTTCCCCTCTACTACATCAACGCCGATCTAACTCTACTGTAAATGGGATATATTGTCCTTGCATGTATAAAAATAATCAAGGCCCTGCGTGTAAGCCCTGGTAACCGCCCGACGCTGAAATAGCCCGAAAATAGAATGATTAATGAATGTGCTTCTCGAGCTCAAACGGATGGGGGGGGGGGCCGACAATTCTGCGTATTTCGAGATTTCCGAATTGAGATCACTTAGAGAATGAATACTGGTAGCCACGTACGACGTATAGATAGTGCTGTTCTTCTTGACTCCAAAGTGCATGTGCGCGATGCTGCGACTTGGAACTCCCGAACTGCGCCCTTCAATCATTACATGGTAATGATGGATGTGATAGGTGCTTACATTGGTGTTGTGATTGTGGTGTAGTTTGTAGTACACCGTTCCACGAGTCATGAATCGTCCGATGACCAAGAAGATCAGCCATATCTACAAGTGCAGCAGCAGCCGGAAGAGGAAGGTGCATGATAACTACTTTCTTCATTTTTTCATCTTGAAATTTGCTAAGTTCACTGTGATCATTGCTTTGTTGTGTGGTGAATCCCGAAGCAGTGATAGCATGTTGTAACTCCCTCTGAATCGTGTGAATTCGAAAATTTCGCGTTCGAATCCTCACTGAAATATTCTCTGCTCCAGCAGGTGTTCAGGCGCTGACTGTAGCTTGGGCTTCGCGCCGCTTCCAGTTTGTTTGCCCGTAGGCCTTTGCGTCACAGTTCTGCTGACTCTGCCTGAATCGGCGGAAAGCAAGCGAAATCTTGATAGCGTAATTGATGGAGAGACTGAAGCGCCACCAGCGCGCGGCGGCGCGGGCTAGCAGATGCGCCGAAATGAGTTAGATAAATATCGATCGGTAGAACGGGCGAAAGTGCCTCGTCGTGTGAAAACGCCAGCTTCACCAGTTCTCCCATTCATAATTTGGGCGGAGTCAGTGGAAGCGCGGAGTCTATTCAGTTCGCCGATTCTCCCTGTCGATACGTATCAAAACCTTTTCGCGCATGCGCCGAATTCGCCAAGGTTGCTTTTTGTGTACAGCGCCTTTAAGACTGGTGGATGACGAGTCACTGACGTCACCGACAATGGTACAATACAGGTTTTCTCGTCATTAACATGTCATATAGCACGTAATCTTCTAAATTTCAACAAGCGCGAACCTGGGAAGACGGACAAGACAATCGCAATTTGTCGCGCGCGGCGCATCGTGTGGCAGCGCGCGGCGAAATCTCGTTGTGCATGAGGTTGTCGACAGGGGCAGCGAATCTCGTGCAAAGTCAAACGGAAATAAGATCCCATGCGAAGTCTCTCCCCACACCTTTAACAATCAAATTCAAACCATTCCTCAAAATTCAAACCACCTCCCAAATAACTCGCCTATAGCATGTGCGGCATTGCTCGCCATGCCCAGCGCGGCGTATTGCGATTGTCTTGTCACGTACCCGCAAGCCTGAGCTACACCAGTGCCTGTGTTCTGTTGTTAAAGGATCTCTAAATGAAGCTCTTCTCAGGAACGGGAAGAACTGGATGTGGAAATGTTGACGTTTGAGAAGTTTCTGCGTTTATACAACAAAATCTGCCCACGCTCAGAAGTTCAGGAGTTGTTTGTGAAACTGTAAATGAATTTATTGATTCTTATCATTAATGAAATGTTTTCCCGCAATTTAGCTACGACTGGTTTCAATTACTGGATTTGCAGGAGCGGTCAGAAGGAGTATCTGACACGAGACAGGTTGACGAACTTCTTGAATGAAGGAGCAGCGTGATCCACGTTTGAATGAAATTCTCTTTCCTTTCTTCGATAACACTCGGACGCAAGTATTAATAAGCAAATATGAACAGGATAATAATTACATTGAAAACGGTATCTTGTTTTTTGGCCTTATAGAATTCTTTTGCAGTTTCTCAAAGTTTTCCTTTCAGGAAAAATGTCCGGCGATGCGTTTCTTCGCTTTCTAATGTCAGATGAGAATTCGCCTGTATTCTTAGATCGTATTGATATGTATCAAGATATGGATCAGCCGCTTTGTCATTACTACATTAATAGGTTAGCCATACTTCAAGTAATTTTAGTGTAGTTTTATTGCGTGTTTCTTTTGTGGAGCATCGTCATGTTACGTGCGTCCCGCTGGTCATCAAAATCCTCAAGCGAGCGCCACTATTCCGCTCAGTTCGTCCCTGGGCGCTACTCGGTTTGGTGGGAGCATTTTGTTGGGGGAGACGGTCAAGAGAATCGTAATTGCCGCTCCGCCGCGCGCGGCGATAGGCGCGGCGTTTTCTTAACTCGTGTTAACCTGTCGATTGGAGCACCGGACTTCATGTAGACCCCGTCATCGTAGACATTCATGACTATTTTCGGTTCTGAGTTGCCTGTTGTCGCCATCACTCCGTGAAACCATCATTTGCGCGCGACGTCCGCACGCGACAGCCACAAGCGCGTGAATTACGATTCTTCTTTGTCAACATAAAACTTTTGTGAGCTCCCCTGTGTCGATGCCGATGCCTTCTGTGGAGACACGTAAATTCCTGTGAGGCTATACAATGGCACGGATTTTGTTTCACAATTGGCAACAGTCCACAGGTCTCACCAAGGTGTGACGCGTAACTCAACAGGAACTAGCTAGCGTGCACCAGCGCCCGTCCATGTTCCGCGTATTCTAGTGCATTCTCTTAGACTGCGCTCATACTTTGCATCAGCGTACAGCAGCGTTTCGAGGATAAGCCAGCGACTAGGAAAGTATGACTATCATGCAGCGAAGCGCCAGCGTTACAGAACAGCGCACGAAAAACGCGCTTACGCCTTGGCATATCGCCGTTGACTGACGCTGATCGTATCTTAGAAACGAAATCCGTAATTTCCAGTAGCTGGCGCATTCCGTTTGTGCAGTCAATGAATTAAGACATACCGTTGTGGCAGAGTCGATGATTCCCCGTGATATTTCCTCTGGCTTTCCGTGAGATCACGCACGTTCATACTTGATGATATGACAGATTATGCGAACAGGGTACTGCGCACTCTCCGTTTTTCATCTTCTCCGATTCTTAGATTCTACAGTTCTCCCATCGGCTTATTCTCCTATTCTCTCTTCCACTATCCTTCTGCTCTTCATCGCTAACGACGGTGCCGATTGATTCGTTTGTCGAATTCTCGCGCAATTTGCTTATCTGTTTGATAGGAAGTATGAGCGTGACCGTACCCGTTGTTCGAAGGTTAACTAAAATCCGCATTGGCTGCCTTGATGTAGATTCCACAGCAGATGCAGCAGCGCCTCTGAACTTTGATTGTTGCTGGGATTTGAAAACTCAAGCACTTTCTTGCGCTTGTTTCTTTAAGAAACGTGAAGGCCCTCCTTCACACAGCGTGTCGGATGAAGCCTGACCGCAAGTTCTCCTCTTTTTGTAAAGAACCCTTGAAATCGAAATGGGATTAGAGAAGAAAAAGAATCAGTAGGGCCAATAATCCAGCCGTGCTTTCGAGCTATCGCGCTGTTTTCTAAGAGTTACCTGAGTGAATACGACCACCGTCTTTCTCATATCCTTTATTACAGTTCTCACAACACTTATTTAACGGGTCGACAATACGGAGGGAAATCTTCCTCGGAAATATACCGACAAGTAGGTCTTTCTCAGCATTCTTTGTGATTTGTTATGACTTTACTTGAGAGCACGATGGATTGGTTAAGTTTTTCCTTGTAATCTCTGTGGTCTCTAATTTTCCTTTTTGCAGGTTTTATTGTCGGGTTGCCGATGTATAGAGCTCGATTGCTGGGATGGAACGGGAGAAAACAAGGGAGAGCCAATAATTACTCATGGGAAAGCCATGTGCACCGATGTTTTCTTCAAGGTTAGCTTTTACCAGAATTGATGGGAAATAGGTGGATCATTGTCCACGCCAGTGAAATGGGCGGAGTCAGGCAAGACCGTTGTTCCTTCCTCGTCCGTGCTTCGCTGTGAGGAAGAGGTGCGCGGCAGTAAAGAAGTCGCGGTTGACCGATTTCGCCCATACGATTGGCGTGAACGATGCCTTTGTACTTGCAGTGTTCGTTTTGCAATTAGCTTTAAGTCTAGAAATCCACAGTTATTTTTTCTTTTATAGAACACTTGAAAAGTAGCATTTAACAATTTTATCTTCTTTCAGGATGTGTTGTATCAAATACGTGATACTGCATTCGAACGATCTGATTTTCCCGTTATTTTGTCGTTTGAAAATCATTGCTCCAAATCTAATCAACTCAAAATGGCGAAGTATTGCATGGATATCTTTGGAGATATGCTGCTTACCAAACCGCTAGACGACTTTCCGGTAAGTTCTTCAATGCATTGGAATACTTTGACTCCGTTTTTAACAGGTGTCAAAAAATAGGGTTTTCCTGCAGTTAGGAGAGTTGGGGGAGGGGCATGCGGAGGGGATGAGGAGGGGAAACCAGGTCGTCGTCTGTTCTTTCGATCGCAAGGCTGAGGAGGGTAATCGTTGTCCCTATGAGAGCAGGGTACAGCATCGTTGGGAGAATCGTATAGGGGTTTGTATTTGGTCTCTGTGGAGGGCATTGTGATTGTTCTATGAGAGTTGTATCTGAGCTCGATGAACATTTCCAAACCGCGGATGAATTTTTCCGTTTGTTGAATTTACTGAATTTTTTCTTACGATTACGTACCCGCAACCGTAAACATACCATACTAATTGTTAAACTTAGTACTTGATTCAGTTTCATCGGAGACTGCCACCCCCACCACCCACTCTTCGTTAACTTTTGGAGAAAAAGTTCGATGTTTCTAGGAAAACTGAGGAAAGTGGTCGGAAGTTGGAAGAATGAAGGAAGATGGTAGGCAGGATCGGAATGAGGCAGTCCAAAGGAAGGCATTGTGGGGGGTTTTGCTTTGACACCTCCATTTCACACATCACCATGTGTGAGAAAAAGCATCCACTGGTAGGCTAACTCGCGTCACAGCATGCCACTTCACTGGGAGTCATTGGGATGAGTGAAATGGCGGTGTTAGTTTTCTTTCCAATCTCCAGGCTGTGATACATCCGCCTATCAGCTTTCTTACCAGAGTT